GCAATAATAATAATAATAATAATAATAATAATAATAGTAGTAGTAGTAGTAGTAGTAGTAGTAGTAATACTACTACTAATAATAATAATAATAAAGAAGAAGAAGATGAGAAATTTGAGATGGAATATTAACGTAACGATTAAACAATGATAATAACAAATATCAAGGTTAGAGGTTCCACTAATGGTATGTCAAACAAGTATAGTATAAACTCTTATTATTCAATTGGAAACCACACACAAAGGAGGTTCCAATCTAATTATAGATTGTTAACATGATTACATTAGTCATCTTATTCGATTAATGCTAATACTTGTAAATCTCGTCAAGCATTCATGATTATAACTTATGTTAACAACCAATCAAGTTCCTTTCATAGCTCAGGTGTTGGTTATCCCATACAGTATGGGCTATGAGAGTGCTAAGTATTTGTTGTACCAAGTGTTATACCATATAAATCAAGATTAGTCATTTAACAAGCAAAGTATTAAAGAGCGAACAAGATAACAAATACAAAACATGTTAGTATCAAACATTAAAGTCGATATTAAGTTTACACTATACTTATTCTTACACCATTAGTGTAACCTTTTCACCTTGACATAATAAACTTAGCTAAACATAATAAAGAAAGAAAAATAAATAAACAAAACAAGAACATAAATAAGATAAAGGTTAACTAAGTAAAGGAAAGGAAATGAAAGGCATAAACTTGATATTAATGAAAGCAAAGCATAAGCATTACAAAAAATACAAAGAGAGAAAGCAAGAGCATGATCTTGATCTGGAAACCAAGATGCCTAAATACATGGCAAATGCCTCTTTTTATAGGCCAAAATTGGGAACTATTGATTTGATGACTAATTGATGAGTGGGTGGCCAACTCTTGACTTGGTGACAATCCTTATCTTCTCTTGTCTGCCCAAAACGTCATTGATAACGTCAAAATTGGAGCCAGTTGCAAACATGATAGAGCCACTTGAAAACATGAAAGTTGTAGGCAATTGTCTCATCTTTCTTGTGTAAAAACATTCAGCTCATTTTGACTTCTAGAACTCCAGATATGGCGAAAATACTGAATAGTGCTCGGGCTGGAGGACAGATTCGGGCTTCTTTGTTGTTGCAACAATTTGGACTTGAAAATGATCTTTTTAGATCTTGGGCTCCATATGAAAGTTGTAGGCCTATGTCTTACCTTTCCATCCATATAAAGTAAACCTAAATCTGAGATCTATAGCGTAGACCCAAATATGAGATCTATAGCTCCAGATATGACCCAATTACCGAATAGTGTTCCGGTTTGGATTGCACCAACATCTCTTTTCTAATTTTGGTCATCTTTTTGCCCTTCCAATTTAAGTTCTTAAAGTCATCAATTAATCCTTTCATTTATATGATAAGCCTGCATTTAAAATGAACATTTACCACAAATTAAAGGTATCTTATATTATTAGATATTTTATTATAAAACATGCTTTAGTTAATGAGTTATTGATACTTCAAGTGTAAAATGATGATGTAAAACTATGATAAAAATAGACTTTTAAGTACTAATCAGGATTCCAAAAGCTTCAGGATGCTAGACTCCCTTGTAATGCTGGTTTAAACTGTTAGCTTAAAAAAACTTAAAGGATTATGCTAGTATCCTGCATGCCTTTCCTCCAGCTGAATACCAGTAACGTTAGAGAGGCTAAACTTTATCCTTTAGCTTTTTTAGATTTTCCAGATTAATGGCATGTGAAGCTTGAATTGGAAAATGCCCTGGTTGATTTCTAAGTATATGATCATGGTAGAAGATCATATCACATCAATTTGATGAGCTAACGGAATGTGATTGGATTTATAAGTTCATTCTCTTATCAGGTGAAACCATGGATTAAGACAAGTCTTGCTCCAGGTTCTGGGGTTGTAACCAAATACATGGAAAAGAGGTATCAATTAAAACTATGATCGCATGTCTTGAAAACTTCATGCAGCTATGGCAGTACATTTCTGATTTTGGCACTTCCTCTGCAGTGGCTTGCAGAAATATCTGAATCAGCTAGGGTTTCATATTGTTGGTTATGGATGCACCACTTGCATTGGGAATTCTGGAGATATAGATGAAGCTGTGGCATCAGCTATCACTGAAAATGGTAATTCTTTCTAAACGCAGTTCTTTTCCTGATATTCCTCTTAAGAATCTCTCTAGCTGATGATTTTGATTTTGTACTCATATACAGATTTAGTGGCTGCTGCTGTGTTGTCTGGGAATAGGAATTTTGAGGGTCGTGTCCATCCTTTAACAAGAGCTAATTATCTTGCTTCGCCTCCACTTGTGGTAGCCTATGCACTTGCTGGAACGGTACTCAAATTATATACTATATGTTCTTAAAATCATTCTGGACCCAATATATTACATTGTATACTTTCTATTCCTCATACCATGTGGGTACCACATTCCTTTTCTGGTTGTTGATTTATGTACTCTGGACAATGTCTCTCGTGAGGGGACAATACTGCAGGTGGATATTGATTTTGAACCAGAGCCAATTGGTGTAGGAAAAGATGGAAAGAAGATATTTTTCGGGGATATCTGGCCCTCTAATGATGAAGTTGCTCAAGTAAGCAGCAGCTTCCCATAGTTTGATTTTGAATTGTCTGATTAGACTATAGACCAGATATCTCATTGTTTCCGATGCTTGAATGACCTGCAGGTTGCCAATTCAAGTGTGCTACCTGATATGTTTAAGGCTACATATCAGGCAATTACCAAGGCAAATCCCATGTGGAATCAATTATCCATTCCTTCGGGCACTCTGTATGGTTGGGACCCCAAATCAACTTACATACATGAGCCACCATATTTCAAAAGCATGACTATGTCTTCTCCAGGACCACATGGTGTGAAGGATGCTTACTGCTTACTCAACTTCGGGGACAGTATTACAACTGATCACATTTCACTAGCTGGCAGCATCCACAAGGACAGTCCTGCTGCTAGATACCTTATGGAACGAGGGGTTGATAGAAGGGACTTCAACTCATATGGAAGTCGTCGTGGTAATGACGACGTGATGGGAAGGGGCACATTTGCTAACATTCGGATTGTCAACAAACTGTTGGGAGGAGAAGTTGGGCCTAAAACAATTCATTTTCCCACTAGAGAGAAACTATCTGTGTTTGATGTTGCCATGGTAATTTCTTTCAAGTTACTCCATAGACTTCATGTACTATGAAGTCAAGTCCTGCCTTATGTTTTGACTGAAAAAAGCCGGGAGGAAAAATATCCTAGGTTATTCATTAACCTTAAGCTTTATTGGTGGTTAAGGCCATAAGAATAGAAGGCTGTAATTAGCAAAACAATGAAGTTAAACTATAATAGGTAGCCACAGTTCAAAACAGTACTGTTCTGGGTTAAGTCTACACTCTACTGTGGTAGTAACCAGTATATCCATAAATTTTAATCACATAGATGTCTTCAGTTGCTAGTTTCATATTGCTTGGATGTGGTGCTTTAGAGTTTGGGTTCTTAAGTACTGAAACAACTTTATAAAGAAATCATAAACAAGCATCACGTTTCTTGTGTTGGGGCCATAATGATGCTCTTGCTGGTTTTATTGCATTTGTCAACAGAGGTACAAGAGTGAGGGACATGATACAGTTTTTGGCTGGTGCTGAGCATGGGAGTGGAAGTTCTCGTGATTGGGCTGCCAAGGGTCCAATGCTACTGGTGAGTCTCTGCCAGCTTCTGAAACCCGTCTAATTTTCCAGAGTCTTTTTAAGCTTTTGCAAAAAGTAACCCCTTTAATTGTTATGGGACCAGGGTGTGAAAGCAGTGATAGCCAAGAGCTTTGAGCGAATTCATCGCAGTAACTTGGTGGGAATGGGTATCATTCCACTTTGTTTCAAGTCCGGGGAGGATGCTGAGACACCTGGCTTAACTGGGCATGAGCGCTACAGCCTTGATCTTCCTAGCAACGTGAGTGAGATTAGACCAGGTCAAGATGTTACAGTGGTGACAGACAATGGCAAGCAGCAATTTACATGTACCTTGCGTTTTGATAGAGGTAGGTGATGGTGGTGGAAACTCGACCTGGCATTTCACCCCAAAACAAAATCTTCTTATTTCATGAATGCTTTGATTACTTGGTATGCTAATGCGGCCCTAAGTTTAGCCACTTGCGTGCAGGTGGAACTGGCTTATTTTGATCATGTAGGCATTCTGCACTATGTCATCAGAAACCTGATTCACACCAAACATTGAATCAGCTGCAAACAAACCAGTAATAAAAGATAGTGGTAGCACAAGATATAATCTCGTTTCTAGTGCTGAGCCGGTTATGTCATTAATAAGTCAGAACCGAGTAGTATTTTTCCTGTTCTGTTTCAAGTGCACGCCTCTTGTTTTGGTTTTCACAGTATCCATTTGTTGCCCTCAAGGATGCATTAAATTTGTCAGGCATGGGAGGACACAACGTCCTCTATATCTCAGTGGCCTGACCCTGGAGTGAAGAAACCAACCTAAGCTCGACTCCCAGGGTTAAAAGGTGTTATTATTATACACAAGATTTTGATGGAACTTTTTAATCTCTGAAGAAATCCAAAATGATCTTAGCCACGAAAGGATGTCTACTGGTTAAAAAGTGTCCCAAGACAATTATGACCATATGAATACAAACAAATCCCTGATACTTGATGATGCGTTGCCATGCTTGTCGTTTAAAAAAAAAATTGTGGAGGCTCTTGACAAATCCCGGTTACCTGAGTGCTGGATCAATCCAGTCAAGACATTCTGGTTTAAATCAGAGATTGTCAAATAACGGGGAGATGCACATAATCCACAGAACTTTACAAGGTATCGAATAATGAATGCATCTATTTTAGTTCTAATAAATAAATAAATTAGGGCGTCTTTCTAACAGCAACTGAAAATGTGAAGGAAACTCACTCTGCTAGAACAAAAAAATTTCGGACTAATTTTATCAGACTCCTGAGAGCATGGGGTACCATGCCCCAACGGTGGAAATTATCAAAATTTACGGCAAGAAAGTGTTGGTTATATACAAAGATTGCATCTTCAAGTAAAAACCGTCAGCAGCGTTTGAGCATCTATATTGGGAAGCGCAAATTACAGGAATACGATGTGGTCACCTGCACGAAGGAGAAGTGGTAATGTTAGGGAGAAAATAACGATTTCATCATGCATGTGCAATTTTGTTTTGTTAGTCACATGTTATTTTATTACACGAGACATATCATGCAGAACCAGGCTAATATTGTGGCAGAAAATTTGGAGCTTAACAAGAACAATTTGTGAGCTGATCACATGCCTACCCAGCTACCACCCAAAAAGAAAAGGAAACGCACAGAAGCTTCACTGTGTAGATCAACAAACTGTTTTCAGTAGTTAAATAATAGTCTGTTAATAAATGCCATTGCCACCAGAGGATATTATTACGAACCAAAACAAGAGCAACTGTTAACAACCAATACCAGTCACTAAGGAATATCTTCACAAATGACGTTGTCAATAGTCTCTTTTGGCTACAATTAAGTACCTTCATGATAGTATTTCAGACCTTGTACTCATTCACACGCATCCATTTTGTTGATGACCACTTATTACCTCGAATCACAGGACAACCACCTGCTTGGAAGAACAATCCACCACATGAATTATTTAAAGATTGATATCATAAAAACCTGCAATATCAAATTATAACCACATGTAGGTATGCCCTCTTGAAATGATGAGGTACTGTGAGCTTGTTTATACTAAAACCTGAACTAAACATGTTCAAGGCGATTAGCTGGTTGACAGTAACTAACCATGCAAACTTGATGGATCTAGAGAGGCATCAGGTTTCATACTCCAGAACAGCAATGCATCACCCATCTTTGGTTTAACAGAGAGCCCCCCCTTTCCACATTCAGATAACTCGTTCCACCAAGGCACTGAACTAATGTTCCCCTTGGCAGAAGGAAACACAGTCTCGCCCCCTTCTTCAACATCTGAGCTGTGTAGAATAGTGAAAGAGAAGTATTACAAAGGAACAAATGCAGGATGCGCTGGAATTCAAAGAAATTCTACTAGCAAATAGATCTCACTTACAGGTACATGAGAACAGTGGCTATGCGTTGACCCCCATTTTCGGTGTTATAATCATCCATAAGGTAGTCAAAGTGAGGCTCATACTTCTGCCCAACTTCATAGTGGAGAATTTGAAGCCCTTCGCCATGCTCTGCACACCATGTCAGCTTGGTAACAGGTGACGAATCAAACTGAAAGGCAAGTTACTAGGTGGTGTTTCCTTTGAACACGTTCTCTTCTTTCCAAAATTGTATACTTTTCTTTTTCCTTAAAGATGCATTAGGTTGAAGTTAACCATGATGGACCCAAGAATTTGGATTAAACCTAGTTAGCTTTGGTTAACTTAAATTTGTAAAGTACAATTTTTTTGTTATACAATGACTTTTCTTGATTTTGTGATGCTTGAGGTGGTGGAGGTGCTACAAAACTAGTCCCAAATAACTAATAACTACTATCTCTGGCACCAAATAAGAAAAGTGGAGGTGCTTAGTGGGAACTGATGATGCTTTGGCTGATTGCACATTGTGGTAGTCAAGTGGATTTATAGATGTGGTAGTATAACAAAGTTGATATAGATTCCACTACAGAAGCACCAGAAACAATGTATCAGCCAATCATGGTTCACTTCTGCAAACACATGAATGAATAACAAAGATGTGAAGGCAATGAAGCAATGCAATAATTAGTTATAGGGATGCGTCAGGATATGAAGTTCAAAATTATGGAAACCTGTGCTTATGGTGGCAACCATGCCTTCAAAGTAAATTAAATTTCCAGTCGTCTATTTGATATTAAAAAAAAAACAGAAAACCAAACAAAATTTCACTGATGCTGATATTCTATCTCATTCTTTCAGTGGTCCTTCCAAATAAATGAAGCTCAAACAACATACCTGCAGGAATAAAGCTAAAATCAGCAATTCTTTTCTCAATATCTCTAATGATTTTGTCACGACCTCTCGGTAGAAATGTTCCAGAACTCGTACGCACTCTACATATCAAAAAGCATCATTAATTCCAATTAATATCAACAAAGTATACAAGCAAACTAATTGAAAGAAGAGCAACAAGAACATCCATCCACAAAATTCAAGAACAAGAGTGTACAATTTAAAGAAAGAAAAACCCACCTACTATCTTTACTCTTCCCCGATGAACTGTCAACAACCATCGACTTTTGCATATGTGGCTTTGCAAGATTGATTAAGTAATCACATTCCGCTTTGGTCTGTCCAAACAAGCAACAAACTAATTGGTTAATTATTCAATTAAAGCAAAATTTCTTACGCGAAAAATGCTACTAATTTATAGCATTCCAGAAACAGCAACATATTCAGCTTCTGTCATTGAAAGAGTGACTATCTCTCCAAAAAAACAAACCATTAAATAAGAAAATATGAAAAATTAAACATCAAATAAGGGAGAAAAATCCTAAAAAACACTATCATGTATAAATGTTACAGAGATCACATTGCATTATTAATTAAATCTTTTTTTAATCACTAAATACAAAACTAAGATAAATCAAATAATAATTCAAAAATAAAAAAGAAATCCCCAAAGAGCATCAAAGTAAATACAATCAATTATTATTTTACTAATTACAATTAAAAATAATACTCAGTTAAACAAATATAAACATCAAATTAAATCCAATTCAAAATCTCTATAAAAAAACTGACCAAAAAATTATGATAAATAAAAGCACGCGGCTCCCACGAGACAACCTCTACCCATTGCTCTGCTTTGCCTTCATCATCTCCACTCCTACAAAAACAATGAAACCAATCAAGATAATTACGACCATGTCATCCAATCTCAAACCAAACACTAATCAACAAAAACACGACAATCAATCTCACTCGTGAATTTTGCTATTATGAGCGATGGAGCTGAGATCGTTAGCTTTACGCGACGAATCAGAAGAAGAAGTGCTCGGAATCGAGAGAATTCCAAGAGCGAGAAGAATTAAAATCACGAAAGTTAACGTTAATAGAAGAGTTAGTGTAAGTGTCGATGACGGTGATTTTCGTGCTGTAATTCGTGAGTATCTCGCTTTCGCCATTTTCGTGAAAAGTCGGAATCGGGACACAGATCGGTGAGAGAAATGGCAGCAGTCTAATTTAATATTTGATAGTCTTTTCTGATCTTGTCTTTTCTTTCTCTTAATTTTTAATAAGAGAAGAGACGCCGTTTTGAGAGACGCTGACTCTCCTCTGTTTGTTGTCCATGCACTTTACACTTAAGCTCCTTGTATTTAAAAAAGAAAAAGCTTAAATATTTGAAAATTAAAAGAAAAAATCTTTAAAGTATCTTTTGGTTACGTCCACGATAAAAATAATAAAAACAAAAACATCTTTAATTAAATTAATATAAAATAAAAATAAATAATTTTGGAATAAATTTTTATATTTTAAAAAGAAAAGGTATAATATTTATTTTTTATTTTTTATATTTTATTTAAGTATGCAAATTGGAAGAGAAAGTGGAGAATTCTTATAATTGGTTGAAAAAGCTTCCAAAATTGGATCATGTGGTTATGATAATAGATTCTGTTATCAATTAATTGTTATATAAACTTTAATAAAAATATCAAATTATGTAGATTTATAGCAAATTGAAGTTGTGAAGACATGAATAAGATTGAATGCGAGAAATTGAAAACCGGCTTTTAGAAAATTAAAACCTTAAGTGGTCAGCCATGATTAGGTAATTTGATGGAGTTTGGAAATTTGATGTATTGGTTATAGTATTTTAAATGCTTAAGATTGATCATGTATGATGAAATGTGGATTGCTAAAATTTACTTACTATGGTTTTATGTTGAAATGATATGTGTTTAGGATTGTAGTAAAGATGACGATTCAAAGTAATTTTTATTTAGAAATACATCAAAATATTTTTTTTATTTTTTAAAAATTATTTTTGACATTAAAACGTTAAAATGATTTGAAACAAAAAAATTATTTTAAGTAAAAAAATTTCTAAATTTAAGGGAACACAGTTTGCACCGCGTTCTTAAATACACATGTAGTGTGAGAGATTAAATTGAATTGATTTTAATGTTTTAATAGTATTGAGGATATTGAAATTGATTGTGAATATTATAATGAGGATTGCGAAGAATTTAGCTGAAAAAGGAATGTGAGGTCGAGAAAAGTAAAAATTCATGTGAGGACAATGGTGAAAGAAGACCATTAAATTCGACTAATTTTAAATCAATAACTAAACAAGTTGAAAGTAGAAGTAAAACTTGAGGAGTGAAGAAAATAAGTATGAGTGATGATCATTGTATGGAACAATTAAGGAAATAACCAAATATTTATATAAGAGAGGGTGAGTTTAAATTTACAATTTATATTAACAAGCGAATGATTTTACTTATGTATAAGGATGCTTACTTTAATGCTAACATTCTTGATTATGTTGTTCCTAGTGTGACTATTTTTTTTATCATAGTAGTTAGATGATGTATTTCCTGAAAATATTCATAGCGATTTACCACCATTAAAGGGAATAGAACATCAAATTGACCTTATATCAAGAGTTGCGATTCCTAGCTAACTAACTTATAGAAGTAATCTCGAGTAGACAAATGGGCTTTAAATGAAAGTTGATAAGCTGATGATAAAAGGATACAAAATGCTAATCTTATGCCATTATTACTTATGCCTAGAAAAGATGAAACATAAAGGACGTATGTTGATTATTGAGCCATCAACAACATAACAATAAAGCATATACATCAAATCCCTAGGCTTGATGACATGCTAAATGAGTTACATGGATCATATATTTTTTCTAAAATTGATTTTGAAAAGTGGGTACCATTATAGCAAGATGAAAGAAGGTGATAAATAGAAAACTATATTTAATACTAAGCATGGTTTATATTAATAATTAGTTGATTAATACTTAAAAGTGTATTTTTATTAAAGGTTTTATATTATCATTTTGCACTTGAAGTATTAATAACTTTTTAATTAGAGCATGTTTTATAATAACATATCTAATAATATATGATACCTTTAATTTATGGTAAATGCTAATCTTAAATGCATGTTTATCACATAAATTAAGGGATTAATTAATGAGTTTAACTACTGATATTTAAAAGGTAAAGAGAGGGCTAAATCTAGAAAAGAGATGCTAGTTTAATCCAAACTATGATATTGTTCAGACATTGGGTCATATTTGGAGTTGTAGAACTTGAATTTGGGTTTGCTTTATATGAATAGAAAGTTAAGACATAGACCTAAAACTTTTATATAAGTCCAAGATTAACAAAGAATGTTTTTAAGTTCAAATTGTAACAACAATAGAGAAGTTAAAATATGTTTTATAGCCCAGACACTGTTCAATGTATATCTCGAGTTTTAGAAGCCCAAATGACCTCTTTATTTTTTTTTACAAAGTTGAAATAATTTACTAAAACTTTTATTAAGACAGTGTCGCATATGTGCGGCGTTGCAACGAAAACATTCCTCCTCAAAATCTATATATTATGGCAAATGTGTGGAGACAAGAAATTCTTGTCTTTTATTAGTGGAAAAATGAAATAGGAGTCGCCATCTAGTATTTTGGTTATTAGGAATTTGAACTGATTTTAGAGATCGAGTACGGGGACTGGTTGTGTAAAAGGAAGGTTTTAACACTCCAAATATGCCCTACCTAAGGTAAGCTGTATTATTTAATTGTTTGATAAAATCTAAGGTCTTGTCGTCCTTTTTAGTTTTTAGTCCGTCTATGATTTAAGAAAAGTCCTCTTCGATAAAAAAATCCTTATCTTATTGGGTAAAACCTAACTGTTTTAACATCCACAAAAAACTTTTAATACTCGGAATACATTTTACGTATAAGATTATAACCCTAGATGTTAAAAGAAAAAAATAATTTTTTTTGGAGTTTTTAAAATACTAGCTTAGTTCTCGTGACTTTAATAAACCGGTTATTAAAGCCAAAATGCGTGCTAATATATATATTTAATTTTTTTTTTGTATATATATATATATGAAAGTATGATTTATTTTTTTTGAAAATATATATATTTTTTATTATTATTTTTCTTGTTGATTAGTACTTAAAAGTTCAATTTTTATCAAGGTTTTATATCATCATTATATACTTGAAGTATCAATAACTCCATAACTAAAGCATTTTTTTAATAATATATCTAATAATACAAGATACCTTTAATTTGTGGTAAATGTTCATTTTAAATGTAGGCCTATCACATAATAAAAGGATTGATTGATGAGTTTAAGAACTGAAATTGAAAGGAGAAAGAGATGACCAATATTAGAAAAAAGATGTTGGTGCAGTACAAATCAGAACACTATTTGGTAATTGGGTCATATTTGGAGCTGTAGATCTCGAATTTAGATCCATTTTATATGGATGGAAAGATAAGACATAGACCTACAACTTTCATGGGAGCCTAATGACACGACTAAAAAATTGATGTCTTCTCCCAAGTGCAGGAGTGTCGAAGTAATAAATATCCCGACAAGACCGGGGTCGAACCACAGGGAGGTTAATTGTATAAATTATAAACAACAATAATAGCAATAATAACAACAACAATAACAATAACAACAACTATAATAATAGTAGTAGTAGTAGTAGTAGTAGTAGTAGTAGTAGTAGTACTAATAATAATAATAATAATAGAAAAAGAAGAAAACGAAGAAGTTGATGAGAACTTTGAGATGGAAAGATTAACGTAAGGATTAAACAATGATAATAACAAATGTCAAGGTTAGAGGTTCCACTAATGGTATGTCAAACAAGTATAGTATAAACTCTTATTATTGAATTGGAAACCACACACAAAGAAGGTTCCAATCAGATTATATATTGTTAACATGATTACATTAGTCATCTTATTCAATTAATGCTAATACTTGTAAATCTCGTCAAGCATTCATGATTATAACTTATGTTAACAACAAATCAAGTTCTTTTCATAGCTCAGGTGTCGGTTATACCATACATTATGGGCTATGAAAGTGCCAAGCATTTGTTGTACCAAGTGTTATACAACATAAATCAAGATTAGTCATTTAACAAGCAAAGTATTAAAGAGTGAACAAGATAACAAATACAAAACATGTTAGTATCAAACATTAAAGTCCATATTAAGTTTACATTATACTTATTCTTACACCATTAGTGTAACCTTTTCACCTTGACATAACTAACTTAGCTAGACATAATGAAAGAAAGCAAAATAGATAAACAAAATAAGAACATAAAAGTTAACTAAGTAAAGGAAAGGAAATGAAAGGCATAAACTTAATATTAATGAAAGCAAAGCATAAACATTACAAAAAATACAAAGAGAGAAGGGAAGAGCATGATCTTGATCTGGACACCAAGATGCCTAAATGTATGGCAAATGCCTCCTTTTATAGGCCAAAATTAGGAACTATTGATTTGATGACTAATTGATGAGTGGTTGACCAACTCTTGACTTGGTGACAATCCTTATCTTCTCTTGTCTGCCCAAACATCATTGATAACCAGAGAAGAAGAAGATGATGATGATGATGAGAACTTAGAGATGAAATATTAATGTAAGGATTAAGCAATGATAATAACAAATGTCAAGGTTAGAGGTTCCACTAATGGTATATCAAACAAGTATAGTATAAACTCTTATTATTCAATTGGAAACCACACACAAAGGAGGTTCCAATCTAATTATAGATTGTTAACATGATTACATTAGTCATCTTATTCGATAAAAGCTAGTACTTGTAAATCTCGCCAAGTTCCTTTCATAGCTCAGGTGTCGGTTATACCATACAGTATGGGCTATAAAAGTGCCAAGCATTTGTTGTACCAAGTGTTATACAACATAAATCAAGATTAGTCATTTAACAAGCAAAGTATTAAAGAGTGAACAAGATAACAAATACAAAACATGTTAGTATCAAACATTAAAGTCCATTTTAAGTTTACACTATACTTATTCTTACACCATTAGTGTAACCTTTTCACCTTGACATAATAAACTTAGTTAGACATAATGAAAGAAAGAAAAATAAATAAACAAAATAAGAACATAAATAAGATAAAAGTTAGTTAAGTAAATGAAAGGAAATGAAAGGCATAAACTTAATATTAATGAAAGCAAAGCATAAACATTACAAAAAATACAAAGAGAGAAAGCAAGAGCATGATCTTGATCTGGAGACCAAGATGCCTAAATGCATGGTAAATGCCTCCTTTTATAGGCCAAAATTGGGAACTATTGATTTGATGATTAATTGATGAGTGGGTGGCCAACTCTTGACTTGGTGACAATCCTTATCTTCTCTTGTCTGCCCAAAACGTTATTAATAACGTCAAAATTAGAGCCACTTGAAAACATGAAAGTTGTAGGCAATTGTCTCAGCTTTCTTGTGTAAACATTTCAGCTCATTTGGACTTCTAGAACTCCAGATATGGCCAACATACTAACGTTTTGCATGACGTTTTTTTATTTTTATTTTTATTTTTATTTTTTTAAATTATATACAATCTCTTTCCGTTAGTTGTTACCTTTAACAAAAGAACATAAATAATGTAATAATCCAATATGCAACCCACAATCATATGTTAAAATGTGAGAACATAAATAATGTAATAATCCAATATGCAACCTACAATCATATGTTAAAGTGTATGTGTGTAAATTAAGGTTTAAGAATACATGTTTAATCAGTATATGAGCAGAATTGAGTGATAACAATGTGAGAGTTTGCAAACCTGAATATTTCAAGAAGTATTATAATAGACCTTGTTAAGAATGGTTACTAAGATGCGTCTCAAGAGTCACTTTAACAAAAGAACTCCTTTACTCTGCCATCCTAGTAACAACAATTGCTCCTTTACTCTACCATCCTAGTAACAACAATTATGCACATGTTTTATGAAATGAAAAATAATTTTTTTTTATCAACTACTGCCCTCTCCCCCCAACCAAAACGAGACATTGTCCTCAATGTTTAAAGGTAGAAAGATAGAGTATAGAAGATATCACCTGAAATAACAAACACTAACAAACCTGAAACACACTGAAACAAAAATAAGAAATAATAAAACACAGTAATAAAACCAAAAGACACAAAAATTCACAAATGAAGGCTCAAATCCAATCTAAGCTTTTTACGGCTTTCCTTAGTTGACCAATTTATGCGACTCATGGAAGGATCAATTACAGGAATGAAGGATTGTAGTTGGTCAATTAATTGTTCAGCAGTAGGAGTAGAGATTATGATTTGTCGTGCAGAAGATGTTAGAAATTCTTGTTCCACAACATGATCAAGGAAAGACAACAACTTATCATAATAACCATTAACATTTAACAAACCTATGGGTTTATGGTGAATGTGCAGTTGAGCCCAAGAGGAAATATGAAAGATCTCTTCCAATGTACCTAGACCACCTAGTAAAGCAATGAAGACATCAGCATGGTTAAACATTGCATTCATTCGAGCCGACATTGTGGAGACCTGAAGTTCCTCTCCAATTGTTTTTCTAATGATGTCCCCTTGTGCTAAAGCTTTGGGGACGACCCCCAAAACTTGACTACCTCTTAAAAATGCAGCTATTGACACACCTCCCATTAACCCAAGACTGCCTCCCCCATACACTATATGAATCTTTCTCTCAGCTAGCACTTGACCAAGATGATTTGCTGATTCTAAAAACTCCTTTTCTTTCCCAGGACTAGATCCACCGAAAACACAAATATTTCTTATATGATGACTTGAGGAACTTGCCATTTCTACACACTTCTGTATTTGTTGAATGTATGGGTTGAGTAGAAATGAAAGGAAGGAAGAGAGGGTTTTATAGATGAGAAATTAGAAAGACAATCATAACATCTATATGTAGGCCAGCTAGAGTGTCACTCTCTCTCTCTCTCTCTCTCTCTCTTTATTTATGTATTTATTTACTTTTGAAAAAGCATGTGTATGTACAGGTAGTTGTGATTGTGGCTCACATCTTCCCTTGGTTTTACGTCCAAGAACGGCTTAAACGCTCTCTATGGGTCGGGGATAGGCTTCCCATCTAGTTTTCTTAAAAACTGGCAAACAAGGTCTTTTTTAATCAGATTTCCAAGACTAAGTCGATCATGTTCTTTATGAAATAGTGGCCATAAA